AACTTGAGCTTTAGAACTTTTTCCGATTAAGGAAATGAAGAAGAAAAGCTCTGTGAAGGACAGCGAATCAGAATAATGCCGAATGATAGTGCTATATGATGTTATTAGTTAATTACGTCACTCAAAACATTACACGGACACAAAATGTTGATGTATATGATATTGTATCTGCCAAATGTGATTTAGAGGTAACTTCTGCACAAGCAAACAGAAAAAAGCAGAACCAAGCGTAGCGTTTCGCGCCTCTAGGCCCTAAGAGCCTGAAAAGAAGATGATAAGATCCTGAAGAGACCATCCGGGTTATCTGTGTGAACCTGAAAGGACCGAATACAGGAATTATGGGTTCGGTGATATAGTAACAAAGATGAAGCAATGTAGAAGCAGACGTATAGTTAGTGAATTTACCCAGTGACCGGCATCTTCCAGGACATGCATCTCTACGCCACCACCTTCTTCGGAGGCAATCTCTTCAGCGGCGTGGATTCGTTGAAGGTCTTCTAAGGCCCAACGGTGCAAGCTTCTTTCGGCTTTCAGAAAATTCACATGTACTCCTCTTGGAAGATTCTCAACAAAGTTCCTTTTATTTTGTAAAACCAATGTTGCCAAGAAGTTTGAGTCTAGTTAGGTAGGTTTGTTCCATATTACAAAGGGAGGTTAGCATAAATAGATTACCATAGATTTGTGTCTTCGTAGGACTGGTAAAGTTCGGCAATACCATCCAGGTCAAATACCCACGAGAAGCTAGAAGATGATGGTCCAGTAGGTCTGAGATTGGTAACTACCCACTGCAAAAGACACATCAAGGTTGTTGCAATTCGACAAGTATCAGCAGTTGTAGAATCAAACAACGGTCTGAAAGTTAGTGTGGATATTAATATACCTGTGCGACATCATTGGAAAACCCTTCTTCGATAAGAGCATTAGAGACCTCGCGCTTTGATAAGACCTTTTAAACCAAACAAAAAAGATGTTCATAAGCATAAATTTTCTAGATCCTTTTCATTCTTCCGACTTCTAAAACCCTGTTAGTTGTTCAACCTATTTAGTGGAAAAATGCAACATTCACCCTTGTATCATTTGTACATGCATGTTCGTTTAAGTTTATTATCTTTTAAAGTCTCTCGACCGGAACAAGAACTCTAGAGTCTAGACTAATGACAAAATGTGCTCCTTGATAGTGCAACGTTGAACTTTAAATGGCCCCATTTCGTGATCTTCTATGAACAAAATTCAGAAGACCAAAGCTTCCCTGATGAGAGGCCGAAAGGTAGATAGATCTTTCAACTTACCACTTTTGGCAATTTACGTAGAACTGATATAAGTTCTCGTGGATGATCGTCTCCATCTCCTCCTGCAGGAACTTTTCCAGGAGTAGCATCCAATACCCAAGCCTAAAATGGATATAAATCAGAGTGATTTATGTAAATTCTACCGAATGTCATTAGGATATAACCATAAAATAAAACACTTACTCGGACTGGTCGTGGAAGAGGCTTAGCTGCTTGCTCCACCATGCTTAAAGCAACTACACATCATAGAAAAGACTAATCAACAATGTTGCCACATATGAATAACTAATCTGGATAAAGCAATTTCATAATGTGAAAGTCACCTTTCCCCCCAAAGCTGTGACCAACAAGGACCCGAGGTGTTAACCTCAACTGACCAACCTAAGATCGAAAGAATAGAGAAAGATGAATATTGGAGAAGTTATCTTTCATGAATAATCGAAGAACATGTGGCCTGAGAAAGAAACTTACAAGTTTTAGAACATCAGAAGCAGTCGAAGCAACAGAGTGTGGACCTCTCTTCTTGAGAGACGCTGAATCCCCATGGCAACGAAGATCTACCAAGAGAAACTGCATAGATTGAATTACGAGGAGCAGATTAGTTAGTGCAAGCCAATAAGGGTGTGCACAGATTTAATGCATTTGGCCAAATAAATACCTGCCAAGTTGGGAACTCATGAGCCAATCTACGAGCAAAAGTGCCTAGAGTGGCAGAAGCCAAAAAAAAAAAAGTTTGGTTAGCCAGAAGTGTTTCCACACCATACAAATAAACCACAAAACTTGAACAAACAGGAAACCAAACTAAAAATGCTGAAGAAGGCACAAACAATCCCTTTGGAACAAACAGGTGACTAAACAAGATTGATGATCTCTTTTCTTGCCTCTAACAGGCACGTAAAGAGATTGAGGAATGGTTTCATAATTAAGTGCAAATTGTAATGATTTCACTAGCAATCCCGCAATACTGACCCCAGTTTTTCCCGCTCCCTAGAATTCCATGTAGGAGAACAGCGGTAGGTGTATCTGGAACAGACTTGTCCTCCTTCCATCTCCAGTTAACCTACGTGTGTATTATTACGTCAGTCCACAATCAATCTGAAACACAGAGAATCTCTCAAACTTTTGTTAGCTCTATTGGTTTAGTGGACATGGAAATTCTAGCATAATAAAGTTCCAAACTTTTTTTTTTCTCCCAAAGCAAGCTTAAACACTGGGATTGTACTCTCCAGTGATGAAATACTTAACAGATTGGCTCTTGGATAATACTTACAAGAGCCCCTTGAACAAGATCGTACGCCTGCAAACAAATGGCACAAGATAATCAATCATCAAAGGTCAGGAATTCACATGACTCAAAGCAACATTAAAGTAAACAAACAAATCGCATTGGGTTTTACAGTCCAAAATTGGTTCAAGTATCAAACTTTTCTGTTGTTGCAGCCAGAAACAGTATCAGTAATCAAAGCAAATACCAGGATTCGAGGAGGGTCAGCAACAATTTTGTCCGTTGATTGCCTCTCGTCAACTAATGCCATACGAACACTTCCTGTGACTTTACCGTTTCCATGTGCTAATGCCAAACGATGATGTATGGAGAATCTGTCACTCTTGAGTAAAGAAAAAACCGAAGTAGAGAGTGAAAATTAAGGGACTTTTAAAGTGCTTTAATGCCGAGAAGGAGAGAATGTAAGAAACCTGAGAAGGTTTCCCAATCCTGATGAAATTAGGAAAAGTYGAAGAACTCTTCGATTGAAACCTAGAACCACATCCGCCGCTAGAGCTCGCCGTGGAGCAAGAGACCGCCGACATCACGAAAGATCAAATGTTTTTTTCCGATGCAGAAACAGATCGAGGAAGCGAGGGAAACCAGAGACGGAGAAATAGAAAGCAATGTGGCTGGCTCTCTTGTAGTCTCCGTCGCTTTTGGTTTACTCCGCCGCCGTAGAATCTCAGGTTGAAACAGAGAGGAAGAAATAGACAGATTTTGTCCCTTTTGGCGGCTACGGACAGACGCGGTAATAGAATAAAGATTATTCCAACTTCCACGCGGATCGACCACCACTTGGCGTGGTCGGTCCAGCCTCCCACCTAACTAACAAAAAAAAACTGTGTTTTCTTTTTTTTCTTGTCAAATGTTGTTAAATTGCAATGCAAGGGTTTATAATTGGAAATTAAATAATAAAAGAGAACAAAGAATTATAGGGAAATTGGTGAAATAACCAAATACTATTCAAAACACTGTACAATTTTCTAAATCTCAGTTGAAATCTTACAAAAGGCTATTTGTGTAGACTCATTTACCAATATTGTGTCAGAATAATACACACAAGGTAGGATATATATGGGAAGGGCGTATAGATTTGAGTATTATAGTAAAAATAATAAATATAAATTTGAAATATGGTGGAGGAAAGAGAAAGGTTAAATTTTGGGGGTTTCATCGATTCTTGAGGAAAGAGGAAGTTAGGAGTCAACAGAATTTGGATAAGTTTTTTACCGGCGAGATCTGGGTAAGTTTTAGAAAGTCCAATCGACGACAAACTCAGATCTGTATGTTTTTGCATATGGAGTCAGATTAGCTTCCTGGATGAATGTTACCGCCTATAGGTGAGAAAGAAAAGAGAAAAAACAGAGTTCGGATTCAACAAATACAACAACGAGTTAAGAAAAAATGGAGTTTGAAATTAACGTAATCGCCGACACGAGAGAGTGATTAAGGCTCCAATGCATTCTTTGTGCATCCACAAAGATCATATCGAAAATTTAGCCTGTGAAACGGTAAGATGACGGTGGTTTTTCCAGTTATAAATGGGTTTTTACACTTCATTTCTCAACAATGCATATCCAAATGGAGGAGAAATCGGAGTTGTCAGATACAATGATCGCCTTTGGCAAAGAACTGGTATGGATTATGGTGACTCAGTGAGTCAAAAACAGAAACTGTTTGTCAAGGGAGAGAGAAGAGAAGCCAAGCTAGCAAGGGTCATGTTCTTCATTAGGCGAGAACATCTCTCTTTAGAGAGATAACAATTATATTAGATGATAACATAAATGTATCCCAAATGTCAATGTACTACTATTAGATGATATAAACACTTTGTACACAATTAACAATTTTATTAGACAAGAATATAATACGTTAGCTAGATAACAATTATATTAGACGAGAACATGGATATTGTCCGGTTAACATATATATTTTTGTTATCGCGCTAATCATATTATCATACGTTAGTTAGATAACAATTTATTATTTTTACCCAAGTAAATGGAATAATTTTAGAGGTTTCACGTTGTTGCGAGACCATTTATACACAATAAGCGTTAGCGAGCCAACTCGTTTTCATAAGTAATAAATAGAGTAGAGATATGTTCACTCTCTAAACATCTAACAATGAATATTACCGATAAATAACTTGTTAACCTCAATCACAAATATTAGCATTCTAACAATGAATTAACAAGTACACTTTTTTCAAAGTAATACATATAATCCATCGTTAAACATCTAACTATACATAATACCGATAAATAAATTGTTATCCGCTATTGTATATGTTAGCATAKCAACAATGAATTTAGACYGCTAATTATAAATTCTTAAATACAACATAAATACATATCATTAGACTCTTCTTCCGCTAACTCTGAAGGCTAACTCGACCGAAAATATGTGAACGACGACGAAACTGAGTAGTTATGAACGAACTCCGGTGAAAGAAGAAGAAGAGAAAAAAAATGTACCACCATGTCTAACTTCTCCTATCTTATCGCCACCACCGCTTCTTCGGCATCTTTGCTTTTTAAACTCCGGCATCAGTTTTTCTGCAACTCCGTCTTGTTTTGCTCAACAACTTTGACTCCATCTCTAGTGAAAAAAAGTTTCGCCGGATTATCACTCGATTTTTGTTGATTCTTCGTCACTAGATCTTGATTTCATCTGATTTAGTTGAAGCTATGTTTGTTTGTATTTCCAGTGGAAACAAAAAATGTAGAAA